CAAGAAGTGTAGAATAAATTGTTAAAATAAATAAAAATAAGTTATTATTAATAAAGCCAACCAGACCCTTTTAAAAATTTGAATTTCATCTCACAAATTTTGTTCTACATATTTTTCTCGATAACGGTCGCAAATACGAAAAAACTTTAGGTTACCAAAAAGTTTTTAAACAAAACAGAAAATTTATTTTGTATTTTAAAATCTACCAGCAGCGCACCATAAAAAAGTTCTTGGGAAAAAAGGGGAGCATGACATACAAAAAAGTATCGCCCTGTAGATTCTTATAACCATTTGGCATGCCCAATGATGTAAGCCTTATAGCCTAACCTATATTCCGAATTTGGGCCAAATATCTCAAAAACTGCAGAAGTTATAAGATAAAAACTAAAAAAATCTCCAAACTTTAACACCCTGTAGATCGGTAACGAAGCGTTTGCGGGCCCATGTTTATAGGAACTTTAATTCATAAAATAAGCCAAAGAATCACCCCCTTTTGTTTGTACATAATATTAAGGAACACCCTGTATATAATACAACATTCCTATTGCAATATATAATATAACATTCTCTTGTAGAATGAATAAAAAAATGTAATATTACACAAGTCAGCATGTAAAAGGATAAACAAAAATTTTGAAAATGAAAATGTACCTCTCGTTTTACTAATGTAATTGTAATCTTGAATATTAATGTAATTATAATTTTATATAATTTTAAATAGTTTACAGGGCCAACCTATGTTATGAGTAGGGTTCTGCCTGGTCAATTGACCGCGGTCAATTAACCGAGATTTTGACCTATTTTGACCGGAGAGATTTTGACCATGTCAAAATCGGTCAAAAACTTTTAAATCAACCGCGCGCGGCGACGGCGCTACCTAACGGAAAACATCAAAACTATTAAAAAAGTGTTCTGTAGTAGACCATGGTGCCATCTTAATAATGCTTTTTAAAGTTAGTAATGAAGTAAACTTGGGAATCCCAAATTGAATTTTACTCATAACCTAGCTTCTTTATATCTGCCTATAACAAAAGTTACTACTAGTTTGTGCTGTGCTACGTTTTCTCAGGTAAGTTATAACGCCCAGTTTAGATGAAAAAGTAATTTTTAATTTTTCCATTCCATCTGTTTTATAAACATACATTTTGTGTTGACATAAACCCCCTTTTTGATATTTCTATTTATGAAATTTAATGAGTTTATGCACGCTTGTATTCGACCGTATACACGTATGCTGTTTTATATCATTTAAATTATACGATTTTAACTTTTAGTGTTCTTGAACAAAGTAACCGCTTCTATACGTTCAAATCCTGAATATGAGCTCTGCAAAGAAGGTGACGAAACCGCGACATAAAATATGGGATTGTTTTACTGAATTTAAGGAGGAAAATAAGGTCAAAGGAAAATGTAGATACTGTGAGGCTATATACATCACACATGTTGATAGAATGCAGAGGCACATTCTAAAACAGTGCAAAAAAATTCCTGAAAATCACAAACAAAAATATAAAAAGGCAAGTCCTTCATTAACTGTGTTCCTAACCAATCTAAAATTAATATTTTTAATTTTATTAACCTTAATAAAAAAATTATTGATAATAACAATATACACTGTATTATATTAAATTATACAGTATATATATTTTAGGTAGCTCGTCATGGTGAAGAAGATAGCGACAGTGACCTTCATGATAAAGACGAAGCTGTATTTGCAGAGCAAATCAAGAAGAAACGATTAAATTCATATGAAGAAGGTACTGCTGGCCCATCAGGGCTAAGTAAATTAAAGAATCAAAAACTGGCGAGTTTTTTTGATCATTTAAATTCAGAACAACAGTCGGAAATGTCTGAACATTTCTGCAATGCAGTATATTCTTCAAATTGTGCCCTCTCCATGTTTGAAAGCGAACATTGGAAAAAGTTCTTCAACTTATGCAGGCCAACTTTTAAAGTTCCTAGTAGAAAACAGATGTCGACTACACATCTAGATGTGTCCTATGAAAAGATAAGAAACCAAGTAAAATTACAAATTGACGATGAAGCGACGGTTTCTATTATGAGTGACGGTTGGTCGAACATCAGGAATGAAGGCATTATTAACTACATGGTTCACACAAGTAAAGGAGACCTATTTTATGACTTCTCATTGCCAAAAGCCCAAAAGCACACTGGGATATATATTGCCTCGGAGCTAAGCAGAATTATCGAAGAGATAGGAGAAAGCAAGATTACTGCTGTTGTTACAGATAACGCGGCTAACATGAGAGCAGCTTGGGCTGAACTAAAGATGAGGTACCCAGGTCTTCAATGTATGGGATGTGCTTCTCATACGCTAAATTTGCTAATGAAGGATATGGAGTCCATGACAACGCTTCGGGATCATGTCACAAGTTGTAAAGAAATAGTGAAGTTCTTTAAACTAAAACATGTGCCAAATGCAGTTTTGCAAGAAAAACAATGTGGCAACAGCAAATCGTCGAAAATGCCTGTAGACACCAGGTGGCTTGTATGGACAGCATTCAGGCAAACAAACAATCGCTTAGAGAGTCGATCATAAATAGTGACGTGGAGAGTATTGCTCCCGCTAAAATTAAGACTTCAATTTTTTCCGATGTGTTCTGGGACCAGAACGATAAATTCTTAAAATTACTTTCTCCTGTCGTTAGACTAATTACATTTATGGAAAATACCAATTCGACTTTGTCGGACGTAAGACACAAGGTGTACAAGTTGAAAGATCAATTTTCCGCCCAAATGTCGGAAAGTCCGTTTTTGATTTCCGAAGAAGCATTCCTTATGAACAATTTTGAAAAACGGATTAAAATGATCTGTACTGACACTCATAATGCGGCCTATCTGCTGGACCCACGATACAGAGGAAAAAACTTGCAGCATGAGGAACTTGAACGAGCCATTGCTCTCATAGTGGATCTTTCTTTAGCAGATGACCATATCAAAGTTATAGGGGAAATTACCAACTACAGAACACAACAAAACGTATTTGATAAAGCAATTATTTGGACCGCATCAAAGGGTGTTACCTCTGTATGTAAAACTCCATCCGATGTAACGCCCGTTACGTGGTGGAAGAATTGGCTTCCGAATTGCTCATTAAAGGATGTTGCTGTGAAACTGTTGGGCATGCCACCTTCTGCAGCGTCTTGCGAGAGAAATTGGTCCGCTTGGGGTATTGTCCATAGTAAGCTTCGCAATCGATTGAAAACCACTCGTTCAGGAAAGCTTGTTTATATAAAGTACAACTTGAAGCTGTTGAGTGGAAGTGAAAATAACAAATGTGGAAATTCGGAGGAACCAGCGCTAAATTTTAGTAGTGAGGATGAAATCGATGATTTTGAAGAAGGCTGAGTTCAGTGACGAGGATGATTTGCTGTTATCTACCCATACCAGCACTGCCAGCCGTCATAAGTATTATTAGAATATTTTTATTTTTTGTACCTCAGAATGGTTTGTTTATCTTTTGATAGCAGTTTTTCAATAAATACACGTTTCTATTTAATGCCTTCGTTTCTTTAGAAAAAAACTGAGGAATTTGACCGGTGCTTAGTCAATTGACCGGTCAATTGACCAGTCAATTGACCACAAAAGATTTTGACCGGTCAAAATCCCAACCCTAGTTATGAGCATTATTGCTCCCTATAGGTCCTTAGTGTATAATGTACAAAAGGAATTTTGGAATAAATAAATAAATAATAAAATAAATAACTTCACCTTGGAGTGAAGAAATCTAGATATTAAAATTACGTTTGTACTATTTAGTTTTAAAATAAAAATAGCAATTCTTTCATTTTTTTATTTAATAGACTGGGAAAAATTATGAATTTTAATTTTTGTCTATTGTTATTTCGATTTACTATTGTTTTTTTTTATTGATTTGGTTCTATAATTGTTTATATTTCAAATAAAATTTTATTTTTCATAAAAAATTTCCAAAAAAACATGATTACCTATACCAAACAATTAACTTGTGTTGTTTATAATTAAAAAAAAACATCAAAACGAAGCTTTTTAGGGGGCGTGGCAAAAAATTTAATTTGTTGGTTTATATCTCTACTTTCTGATGGTGTAAAAAAATATCCATGACTATGGTAAATGTTGTCAGAAAATGCAAAGAAACGAAAAAACTCGAATCCGACTTTTTTTTTAATCATTAGACGGTGATGGTCTTGAAGATTTTGAAGATCTACTAGAATTGGAAAGGTTTGTTGAATCTAATGATAAAGAAATGCCATCAAAGAGGCCAAAACTTTTTTAAAAAAGCTGATATTTTGTAAAAGATAAAAATAAAAAACCAAAAACTTGGTTATTTGAATTTTTCACATAAGTTTTGAGATTATGTGAAAAAAGTGTAAATATAAAAGTTGTAGATCTTTTTATTACATACAACTGTGCCATTTAACTTTTTTCCATAGGACTTGTAGTTTTGCCAAAAATCGAACCGTTTTTTACCCTTAAAAACTCACCCCCGTCCACTTCCCGACCTCAGATCGCCCGTAAATTATTTTTCCTTGTATTTTTGTTATAGGTATTCTCTTCCTTTTCCAATGGGTTTCATCCTATTATTTTTTTTGGTTTCAAAAATTATCGACCCTGCATGGTCTATAATACAAACAATAATATTAAAACAAGTATCCAGATTTTTGTATACAGCAAAAACTAAAAGAACTCCACTTTTTTATGCACTTTCACCCTTTTGCTTTTTACCCCCTCATATATAATTTACAAATCTTGAGACGTAAATAACTGTAAGAGGGCCTTCTTATAAAGTGTTTTGACAAAAAACATAATATTACTGTCATGCTAGAATACAATTTTAAAAGGAAAATAGAAATATTCCTAAATATTTATAATGCAAGGGCATATTTCCTAAACATTTTTTAAAACAATATACCTACCTAGTCCAAAACGGAAAAATATTATTACAAGTATAACAAAGAGTATGAATAAAGCCACCTCAAATAATCTACCTAGGTACTCACCTTACTTTTTACTTCAACTTTTGTGTTGTCATGGGTATTAACAACAATTTTGTTCGACATTTTTCATTGGTTGCTTATTGTAATAGAAATAAATATAAATACACATAAACTTAAATAACTTATTTTAAAATATACTTAAAACACAATAAACAAATAACACCTTAATTTAATTACGTTTAAACCTCACTCTTTCATACTCTTAATGGCCATGGCCCAGTGCTGCCAACCAGTCGAAATTAAAAGCCGCCTAAGCAAGTCTTGGTCGTACTCCTATAATATAATATATATATAGAGCTGTCATAATATAATATATAGAGCTGTCAAAGATACTTTTAAAAAGTATCTAGATACAAGATAAGTTACTTTTTGAAAAAGTATCCAAAGTTACTTTGGGTATCTAGTTACTCTTTAAAAAAAGGAACTTAAATACGTATCTTAAGTTGCTTTTTAAGATACTTAATAAGATACTTTTTTAGTTACTTTCTATATTATTATAAGTTTCGTATAAACCGCCCAACAAAAATTCGTTCCAACCCCACCCTGATTTTTCAAATAATTTTAAAATTTTAATTAAGCTTACTTTTTTAACAATTTTTTTCAATAAAATCTAGTTGATTAAAACCATTGAAGGGTCTAATGCAAAAAGTGTCTAACTTAGGCACTTTTAAAATATCTTAAAAATAAAAAGAGATAAAATCGTTAATTAAACACCACTTAATTATAAAAATAAAAAAATTATCTCACACTTTTCATTTAATCTTTTTTAACATTTTTTTAAAATTTAAAATGGAAAACATACATTGAACATTATAGAATGTACGGTACAATGTAACAACCAATATCCTACATCAGTACATCATAAAGAAGCAAGTGCAAGTACTTACCTAACCTAACTTATTTCAGACTTACCACTATAAATTCAAGTCGCAACGAACGGAAACACTCTTCTACAGAGCGGGTGGCGAAGTCACAGATTATAAAAGAAGTATAGGTGAATAAAAATTAAGTAGGTATAACAAAAATCGCCGCCAGTCGATTGGCGCCAGTCGCTGAAGTCGCCAGTATACTTATTATCACAATCCACATCCACATGTTGTGTGGATTGTGCTTATTATAATAACTTAAGTTATTCGAATTCGATGGCCGCGGCCGTTTCGAACAACTTGACTAAAGGAACTTTTCTTGTGGTAGATACTTTTTGGTATCTAAGTTACTTTTTGGTATCTATAGATACTTATAAGTTACTTTTCGGTATCTAAGATACAGTAACTTACTGAAGTTGATAATCTTCTCGAAGAGTACGAAAATTAATAATTTTATAACAGAAATGGTGAAATTTGAATTTGATATTTTTAAATAGCATTTTTTTAAATAATAAAATATTTTTAGACAAAAATGATAAAATATGAATTTAATATTTTAACGAAAAAGCCGTGTTTTTAAATGCATGGCAGTACCATGAAGCCGTGGCCATACATTTGGTCTAAAAAGCCGTGAAAACACGGCACTTGCCGTGTCATAGTGCTGCCAATGACACTGTCATTGGCAGCACTGCTATAGCCACTGACAAATGCTCAATGTTGTCAGATTTCCATTTAAAATCAGTTAAGCAGTAAGCTGAATTTATAGATTGCCTTCCTCCTAAAAATTGTTTAATTTTTGGTTTAAATATAAAAGGGCGTCGATAATTGACTCCATAACGCTTTAGCTCAAACAAAAAGATTATTCGTCCTAACAACTGCTGTAACAGCAGTGCTGTTGACAGTTTTGACCTCAGTCCGGCTTCAATTTTAAGTTATAGGTATTTCGTTACCTTAGAATTAGAGGGTTCTAAGTGAAGTTGCCACGTTAAGCGAAAATGGATTATCTGCAATATTTAATATTTTAGATAAGTCATTTTCGATTAACAGTTCAGTTAGAATTACCACAATCCACACATGTGTGGATTGTGGTCATTCTAATGTACCGATTTCCATAGACAGTCCCTGATATTTCTGCGATTTGGCAACAGTGGACATGTGACATGTTTTGACATTTAGTAAAATCAACATTCAACCATCGAAAAACACGTAGCGAAAATACTAGATGCCAACGTATTCATCGGATATTAATTAAGTTATAAAAATATATCCTTAAAATGAGGTCCCTTGGAATATCTATGCTAAGTGTAACTTTAACTACTGTTGTAATTGCTAATGCATATTACCAGAAGAAACAGTTTTATCCTTCAGTAGTATATATAACAAAATCCAACCCCAGTATGGCTGTAAGTAACTTACATATTAAATGAATAGTAAAATTTCAACAACACATTTTAGGTTATTTACATACAAGCTTTTATATGTGTCTGGATAACAGGAAAATTAATGAGAAAAATATTTTTTGGACAGCTGCGAACAACAGAGTTTGAGGTAATATGCCTACCTACTTTGGGATTTTATTTTTATAGTATTATCTTATAAGAAAAAAACAAGAAATCTATATTATCACACATTATTTAAAAAGTATCCCGAGATATGGTATGTATTGTTTTAAATGAACATTAGAGATATCATTTTAATCTACAGGGTATCTTACCCTTACCTCCAACTTTAACTTTTTTTATTAAACAGTTGTAGATAGTTTCTACAGTGTGACCCATTTGTTTGCGACTCACCCCTGTAAAATCTTTATTTATTGTGCGATTTTAACCGGATTTGTTTTAAAGGGTAGATCTTGATAAACTGTATTTTTGGAGCAGAAGACGCCATATTAATACAAAATACAAGGCCTACTATGTCAGTTTTTAAGAGTAAATTTTTAAGAATTCATATTAGCGATTTTTTTAAACAAAATTTAAGCATGGCACTGGATTCACCACCCCTCAAAACTATGCTATACTAAATTTTATTGAAAAATTTTAAGAAAAAAAAATGCACAAAAATAACTACAAAAAGTTATCCATGAAAAAACATTGAAATAAAATTAAACAAATATTAACATGGTACTATTACTATAAGTTTAATTTTATTTCAATGTTTTTTCATGGATGTCTTGACGAAATAAATTTTTGTAGTTATTCTGCATTTCTTTTCTTAAAATTTTTTAATAAAATTTAGTTTAGGGTAATTTTGAGGGGTGGTGAATCCAGTGCCGTGCTTAGATTTTGTTTAAAAAAATCTCTAATATGTATTCTTAAAAATTTACTCTTAAAAACTGACATAGTAGGCCTTGTATTTTGTAAAAATATGGCGTTTTTTGCTTCAAAAAAACAGTTTATCAAGATCTACAGTTTAAAACAAATCCGGTTAAAATCACACAATAAATAAAGATTTTACAGGGGTGAGTCGCAAACAAATGGGTAATATATAAAGTAATTTTTACAATTTTCACTTTTGCTTGTTTTTTGACTTGTAAATCCAATTAATCAGCGTTCATAAACTTTTTTTAATCATATGAAATGTAGATATGTAGCTCACCAAAAAGAACTGAAATTTGCAACATTTTTAATAATAATATTAATAACAAACTTTATTGAAAAATCCAATTACAATCTTGTTATATTACATAATACAATATTTTAATTTATTTTCTGTTCAGTGGAGGCTGGTGGATTTTGGGCACACCCATATCTCAGTTATTAGACATGGGACCCACATCAAATTTATATGAGTTCATAATGACATTATATAGACAAGTTCTGTGCAAGCAGAATTTAAATTGAAGTTTTCGAAAAAAAGTTAGTTTTTAAGTGTGCCCCCCTAGCCTCCTGCCCCCCAAAATTAAGATAATTCAAATTAAAGTGGTACAATATTTAATTCACTGAAGTTTATCGACAAATTTCAAATTTTATTAAAAAAATTACAGGTTTTATACCATTTTAAATTTTTATTATTTCTTTTACTAAATTAAAAAAAAAATAGAAATAGTATAAAATCTGTAATACTTGAATTTTTGAATAAAATTTGAAATTTGATGTGGGTCCCATGTCTAATAACTGAGATATGGGTGTGCCCAAACTCCACCAGCTGCCACTGGTTCTGTTCTTACAAAAAAAATGTTACATGGTTATGTTATAATTAAATATGTTAATTCTTCTGTCAATTGCCTAAGTGCGTCATACAACGATTTCTGTGGGTATTTTCTCCTTGGTGTTGTCTCAAGGTGTGTTTTGAGAATCAAAGGTTCCATCACATTAAGATTTTTGGGTTTGTTGGCAAATCTTTTCTCAAGGTATTCCAGTATTCCTTGTATGGGTTGGATTCTAGTGATGTGGTAAAGAGATTCATTGGATGGGTTAAATAAGGAATTTTGAGGATGTCTGATTTTTGTAATTTTCCTTAGGCTTGTGCGCTCGCCTATCTCGATGTTTGATGGGGTGGGTTTTCTGCAGTTATTAAAAAGAACAAATCTATATTCCAGGACTGGGCGACAGATGAGTTTATAGATGTTGGTTGCCACAATAATATTTATTCTTTATAAGTTAAGCTTCTGTTGATCCTGTTTATAATACATGTTTTGGTGTGGCTTGTGTGTTGTTTAAAGTTTAATTTGGTGTCTATCAAAATTCCCAGGTAACGGCATGATGTTAATGGTTCTACTGTACTTTGCATAATATTTATTACGGGCGATTTTGCTTTTATTTTGTGATGGAACAATAGTAGGTGTGATTTTGATGGACTTGGTAGGATTCTTCATTTAGACATCCATGGCAATACCTGATTGGTTAGTTCTTGTAGTTTCACACTTGCTTCTGTTGTAGTTTTTCCATGCGTTATCAAAACTGTGTCATTAGCTCTGGCTGTTTATGTTTAAGGGGTAAAAATTGTACATGTAATAACAAAATAAATTATACAAAAATGGTGATAATAGTGAGCCTTGTGGCACTCCTTGTTCTGGTGAAGAGGTGGGGTAATTTCCTTTGTCTAAGAAATTTTTTTATTATTCATACCAAATAATTCGGACTTTCCAATTTAACCACTTTTTTCAGCAACCCATCATGCCCTACGGAATCGGAGGCTTTACAAATATCCATAAATAGTGCAGTTGATTTATTCCCCTCTATACTTCTGTTGTACATTTGATGTTAAGACAATTAATGGGTGAGTAGTTGGGGTTTGTCTCTTGAATCTAAATTGGTATATTGGGATTTTATGTCCAATGGTCTGTTCTAATCTATTTTTAATTATTTATTCAAAGGTTTTTCCGACAACTGGCAATAAGGAGATGGGCTGGTAGTTGCCTGGCACAGTGTGATCCAAGTTCGGTTTAGGAATGGTAATTATTGTTCCTTTTTTTCATTTATCAGGAAAATAACTATTATGCAGGCAGAAGTTATAAATTCGTATTAGTTGGTCATGGATTTCCTGGTCAAATTGCGTTAAAAAATTCTAGGAATTTGGTCATGCCCTGGTGCCGTATTCTTCCCGTTTAAACTCTCGAAATATTCGTCATCAGTTACATTTGCTATATTTTCATTTAAGTTTCTTTGAGTAAAGTTTTCTCTTACCCAGTTATGTATATAATTTTTATAATTTTCATCAAAACTTACATTTTCTGTAAATTTAAATTTTTTATCAAATTATCTTGCAAAAGGCATCAGCAATTTCTTGCTCTGTTAGTAAGATTTTATTGTCTTCTTTTATATGGTGGTTATATTTTCTATATCTATATAGTTTCTTTATTTCGCCCCAGTATGACCGGCCCTTTGCTACATTAATTTTTTGGCATGCTTCTAGATATTTAGCTGTCCTATATTGTAAAATTAATTTATGTATATCCTTATTTAATTCGTTGTATTTTCTTTTAAGTATAGGGTCGTAATTAATTTTTATCTCTTTAAATAGTTGTTTCTTTATTTTAATTAGTTTTATGATGAATGGTGGTAATGTATGTGCAAAGAAGCTTGTTTTTAGAATAGGTGTATGTTTCAGAGTAATTCTGGTAATATTTTTTAGAAAGGAGTCAATTGTTTGAGGAGAAATATTCTCATTTAAGTTCATTTTCTGGATGATTTTATTATTTATAGCTTCTATATTACTTTTTATTATATATATATTTGATTTCTGGAATTGCTTGTGGATTTTTTTCTATATCAAAGTTAAATTGAATGGCAAGATGATCGGATCCTAAATCAGGTATTAGTTCTACCCAGAGCTGGGCATGAGTACTAAAAAAAGTATTCGTAAAATTTTAAGTACGAGTACTTAAAATATTTACTCGTAAGTACTTTACTCGTAAGTACATTTGTAAAGAGAGGTTACGGTTACGAGTAGTAATCGTGAAAACACGAGTAAGGAGTACGAGTACTTTTGAAAAAAAAATGTTAGTTAATATAATTGATTATTCTTTACCCTCTAAAAATGTCATAGCGAAGAAGCAGCCACTAATGATTCTCGCCAATAGCAATTTGTATTTTTAACATTAAGCAGTCAATTTCCATTTAAATTGTTCCCTGAATCCGAAAATGTCGTCAAAATTTAGAAGTAGAACAGTTTTTGAAATATAGTCCATTTTCCATATAATATGGAATTTATATCTCAAAAACTGCTAAAATTTCATAATTTTTGACGATATTTTTACTAATTTCCACCAATAACTGTGGTAATTAGTCATTTTCGACTAATTCATTTGTGAGAGTGTACTTTGGTCCTGAGCTATAAAAATACAAAAACAAATTTATAAAATTATTTATTATACATTATGTAGATAAAATAATAACAGTTCTTAAATAGTTTATAATTTTACCTATTTACTTGTTATAAAACCTATAGGCTATAATATATTATATTATAATATATATTATATAATTTAAAACAGACTTCCAAACAAAATGTTTTGATGCTTACGATATTTTGGCAAAAAGTCATCCATATAATAAACGGAAATACTCGTAGGTATATATCACTCGTGAATTCCAGGAGTATTTTTTACGAGTACATTGAATTTGGTTTGTAAGTACGAGTAATAAGTATTTCAAATGAAAAATACTTATGAGTAAAAAAGTACTCGTACTTTTTACTCGTAATTGAAATACGAATAAAAGTACTCAGTACTTGGCCAGCTCTGGTTCTACCCCTGTAATATTGTTAATAAGGTTTTTCGTACAGAGCAATATGTCCAGAGTACTGTAACTATTATTAGGCATTATAAAAGTAGGCGGGGTATGAATTTGGGTGAAATCCGAATAGTTTATAAAGTTTTGTATTTGTTTTTTTCTTTTATTTGTGACATTAAAGTCTCCTATGATAATTGCATATTTTTACTGTGACGCTTTCGTAAATAAATTTTCCTCTATTAATCATTACTATGGTGCATGTAAACCAAAAAATTGCAATTTGTCGGTTTTGTAGGTAATAGTAAAATGAAAGACATCATTAAAGTGCGGGGGATTTGATTTACCTATTTTAAGCATGTGATCCCCTTAAACCAA